AAGTGATCTGAATGAAATGCCACGCTCGTCACTCACTTTCATTCTTGTCCGTTTTCACGCAGTGAACGTGTGGTGCGCTCCAGAGCCATTACACCACAGCGCCGCTAAAGGCCGAATGAGTCACCAAGGCATATCTGTGTGAGCGGCGCTGGCGACGCCCACTTGGTGCTTTTTCACCCAGAACGATGATGTCATAACCAGAGACTTCCTGAACACAGGGTTCATTCACAGAGTCCTCCTTCTGACACGGGACACTGCACCAAACAAGCCGGTTCCCTTGGAAACCGAAGAGGTCTCCTCTCAGTGATGCTTGGGGGAGGGGGGGATCCGGGCCTGTTTGTGTTCAGTTCACCACCACGTGTGTCCATGTCAACAGCACACAACATTTGGAGATTAAAGGTCTGATTATTACCATGTTGCATCAATTATAAACAAACAGATTAGGTCTCCCATGAGTGCATCTGCTGGTGTCTCGGAGCAGGAGGGAAGTGCTCGAATGAGTCACCGTCTGCTCCAATAATTTTCCTGTTAATGTGCACCACAGAGAGAGAAGAGGCACCTTTCGGCAGTCTTTGCTTCACACCCAGAGATGTGCATGTCTTCATGAAGTTCTGGGATGCAAAGTTCACGCCCATTTTCGGGATACTGTCATGTTCAAAGACAAATATTAAACTTTATGTGAGGGCTAGCCTGTAATCTGAATGTTCCAAGTATAAATAACATATTCACATTTAATGTAAAGTAAATGAATAGATCCCTGTGATGAACTGTAGCAGCCGGTACAAGCCACTGGAAATATGCACCATCCTGTGAAAAAGGATCCGAAGGACAAATGGATGTTTCAAGTTTAAGTCACCTTGTACCTTTACACTGCCTGATCAAAAAATACTGTCTTCCAGCTATAGCAACAAATATTTAACCCCAACCACAGGAAAGACACGTCCTGTGGTTGTGAAAAATATGAAGTGAAAAAAAAAATACTGAAGAAGATTGCTGAAATAAGTAAGCTTGGGTTCAGAACTGTCCAACGCACTAGCAAAAAACTGGAAGTATAGCAGGCAACCATCCTCTTTGAGGAAGAAAAGTGGTCAGACAAAACCTTGAGTGATCATGATCTGTGGTCACTTAAACATTTGGTGACATCAAATCAAAGTAAAAAGAACAGTAGAAGTAAAAGTTGTTTAATAGTGAAAGTAAGAGCATTTCCACACTCACAATGTGACAGGAACTGAAAGGATTGAGACTGAACATCTGAGTAGCCTGAAGAAAACCACTAATCAGTGAGAAAAACCAGAGAAAAAGACGACAATTTGCAAGAGATTGATTGGACTTTAGAGTGGAAGAAGGTCATGTGATTTCATGAATCTAGATTTTTTTTTTCTCTTCCAGTGTAATGGGTGAATCAGGGTAAGAAGACATGCAAAGTGATGCCTCGCGACTCATGGACCACTTTCTTACAATTTGAGCCTTAAGAAGCTTGGCATTGTAATCTTGAAAAGTCTAGATATTCAGATCATATTTAACCACATTGAGAATCTTTGAAATGTTTTCCACATTCGTTGGACTTTTTCATCATCAGTACAATATCTTGGTGAAAAATTAAAGCAACAGTGGATGGACTGAAATCTTGTGACATGGTAGAAGCTTATCGTAACAATGGTACAGCGAATGTGTGCTTTAGTCAAAGGGAAAGACGGTCCAACAAATCTTAGAGAGTGTGACCTTTTTTTGAGCCAGGCGGTATATACTCAACACATATAAGAGCCAGAGGTCTTGAGATGATATGTGATTGATCTAAACAAGTGAAAGATAAATTATACATTTACATTTTGTTCAAACAGCCAAGCTTCTGGACCTGCTTGGTGGACAATTCAGTAGCAGCTTTACCTTTCAGTATGAAAGTCCTGGTTTCAAGTCCTGCTCTTGGCTTTTTCTTCATGTTCTCCCTGCACTCTGCACACACTCCAACATCCTCCCACATTCAAAAAAAAAAAAAAAAAACATGACTGCGAGGTTAATTGGTCTTTCCAGAAAGCTTCTGCGCTTTGGACACACAAATGGCAAATCAGATATATGATTCAGGTAAGGTTTCTCTTTTCTTAGAAATTCTTTGAAAAGCTCCAATATTTTTTTTTCTTAGGTGCACAGAGATAGAGATAAACACCAGGAACAGTGAAAGGTTGATATTACCACGCTGGTGATCCAGCAGGAATGACAACAGTCTGATGAAAAAATGAAGAACAGGTATGAAAAGAAACAGCCACAAATTATTATTATGATGTTTTCATGTAAAAAATAAATACTTCTTAGCACCATTGTCTTGAAACAAGAAGGTTCCGGATTCAAATCCTGGTGCACAGGCTCTTTCAGAATGAAATTTGCATGTGATGAATTTTAACCAGTTACCTTGTGGTTCACTGGTCTTTCCAATTTAACACCATGCGTGGGCGGTGTGTGTGTGTGTGTGTGTGTGTGTGTGTGTGTGTGTGTGTGCGTGTTTCCGTGTGTGTGTTTGCGTGTGTGTGTTCCACCCTGACCTCTTCAATGGATGACAAAAATCCCGCTCCATAAGCTCTGAGCTGACCATCCTGTTTGCAGAGTCCAAACTCGATGGTGAAGCAATAGCACCGAAACAGAAACAGCAGCAGTCAGTGTTTTGGAGAGCAGCGCCACCTTCAGGTCACTCAATGTAACTGCAGTTTGTCAGTGGTGATCTATGCTGAACCACCAAATGACAGCACACAGGCAATCAAAGCAAAGTGTACAGGTAAGATGTGAAGGTGTTTTTGACTGGATTCATATGAAAAGTCAGAACTAAAGAAATAACTGAAACTGAACCATCGTCATCATCAAACGGTTAATTAGAAATTAACTGTGTGAACAAATACACCAAGAAGATTTATAGAAATGTTCACCTCAGGTAAGTCGCCCAAATGTCTATAAGACATGACCTAAAGTAATCCTGAGGTTTTCTTTATGCAATGGGGACCAGCTCACTGGTCCCCATTCACCGTGGCCAGTTTCTGGACATCCTCATCATCCCTGTATTTATATATATATACACACACACAAACCCTGGCAGGCCGTCAGGCTTATAATACACTCATAATACAGACCGCTGCCTCATTGTAGCTGGCGGTCTGATTTTTGTGCGCTCCCTGTTTGGTGCATCAACTATAAATACTACAAACAAATCTTTCTTTTCAGGAATGACTTTGTCATGCCAGTGCTCATCACAGAAGAAATCCTTGCAGTCCTGCTTATTAAAAAAAAAGTATATATTTTTTGGGATAAAAAAAAAAAACAACTCCATATAAATTTGGAAATCCATTCCATTAGCTACTCCCATTTCTTACTGGAATGGGAGTAATGGGAGTAAACTTAATAGTTCGAGTCAAGCAGAACTGATCTGATCGTTTCCACAGCAATGAGCAAAAGCAAGACATTCCCCGGAACTCCAGAGAGCTCATTGTAGCTATGACCTCATCTATGACATGCGGTTCTCGATCAAAGAACGACTGAGGTTATGAATGCTTGTGTTCATATTCAACCAGCTCCACAGTTTATCACTAGGATTTTCAATATGGCAGAAATGTTAGTTGGCTTGTGTTTTCCCCTCGGATTTGGCATAGGATACTTAGTTACAACTGGAATGAAGAAAGTGTGTGATAAGGTATTTCCTGGTAGAGAAGATGAAAGAGATATCTCTCAGGACAAAAGCACTTCCTCAGGTTACGACAAATTCGACTCTTTTCTTTTTGACCCATCCCGGACTGAGAAGCAAACCTCCCCGGCTGGAGGAGAGTATATATACACATATATATACATATACAAAACACATTGTCTGTCTCCTTGGTGATTAATTCTTCTGCCTTAAAAATGGTTTCTGTTCTTGTAACAAGATCTATTAATGAAACTTCTCCAGAGTCAAACTCGTCTTTAAAAGAAAAGAGTCAAACTCGTCTTCAACTGAGAAGCAAACCTCCCCAACTGGGGAGGTTTGCTTCTCAAGTTATGACGAATTCGACTCTTTTCTTTTTGACCCATCCCGGATATACAGAGTCTATATACACACACACACACAAAAATAAAAAAAAATTCAGAACCACCGCGGGTGGTTCTGATCCTCTGAGCTCGGGTCCTCTACCAGAGGCCTGGGAGCTTGAGGGTTCTGCGCAGTATCTTGGCTGTGCCAAGGACTGCACATTTCTGGACTGAGATGTCTGATGTTGTTCCTGGAATCTGTTGTAGCCATTGATCCAGTTTGGGGGTTTTATATATATACATATACTCCCATTACTCCCATTCCAGCACACACACACACACACACACACACACACACTATATATATATAGTATATATACACACATATATATATATATATATATATATATATATATATATATATATATATATATATATATATATATATTATATATATATATATGTGTGTGTGTGTGTGCGTATGTGTGCATGGGTGATTATCTTTGTAGTCATGTGACATACTGGTGACCGGTCCAGGTTAATAACATTAACTAACACTTAATTGATAATATTTGCAAAACTTCTTGTATTTTTTGAGTTATGTCTTTTGATGTTCAAAATATTTTTCCACTGTGGATTCCAATAAATGATCAGGAAAATGCTGTTTACCATTCAAAGAGAAATTCAAAGGATAAATTGTGGAATTAAGCTTTGCTTACCAGTACAGTTGCAATATTTAATGAAACTGGTGTAGTATTGTAGCCCATTTGATTAATTGATTGCGGTTTATTTTTCTGACTTGAAATTTGTTAGAAATGTACTTTATTTTCCTGAATTTAGAGGTAAAATTTTAGAAAATAAAATTGGGATTACATCTCGGACATCCAAATATCCTTCCTCTTTTTCATACTTGAAGTTTTATTTGTATTTATTTTATTCAGAGCTAGAAACCAGAGAAGAAAAATTCACATCAATTCAAGTTGATTTGTGTTCATGAGGGCAGCATCCTAGAAACAATTAAAACACCTTATTAGCATGTACGATTGTTATTATTTATTGCTTCTTTTAATAATACAAAAATACCATAAGAAGAGGTTTTTGAAGAGGCACGGAAAGTCATACTTCAACATAAACATCAAGACATCTACAAAAAAAAAACAAAAAAAACAAAATAGTACAGCATTAATAATCCATCAGTTAGTAAAGGTTTTGATATTGTGAAATGATAAAAACAAAAGAAATTATTATGGATGGATTGAATTAAGAACATAATCATAACTCAACTCTATTATAGTTAAATGATAGAAAAACAGCACATAGCTCCTATTTTAGACTCTGAACACATTAATAAAAATGCATCTATTATTTACAGAAAAAAGGGGGAACTATTTAATACAGATTACATTCATTAAAAGTCAAATACATTTGTGCTCCACTGGCTCAATGAGAAATGTTAAATATCAAATTTTAAATGTAATAATATTACATTCTGCTGTGATAATATGGAACATATCAAATATGTCTTCTATTTCACTTTGGAGTGTTCATTGTACTGACATCTGACAGTAACATAACTCAAACTGTTCTCCTGTTCCAAAAAATAAAATATCATAAAAACAAACTGTTACTGTGCGACTGAGTCTTGCAGCACTACCCCCTTAACATGATGCCGTTGCTTACAGATAATGATAATTATAATAATACGCACACTCTTTACAACTGAAAGCAGGAAGCATTGCATAGGCAGCTTTTAGTACAATGATTATGATTGCAAAGAAAAGCAACAAATACACAGAGCAATATACACAGTTTTTTGTCTTTAGACTGTGGACACAACCACAGAGTTTACTGTGAAAAAAAAAGAAAGACGCCCATTTTTATTTTATTTCACAAAGAAAATTACAAGACCAGTATAGAGCATGTGAATATCAAGGGCTGAAAAATGCCAGAAACCAAATAAATAGTCAGCAAAATGTATACATAAAAAATGCATATATGAAAATAGTTATTAAATGTATAAATAATTAAAATCAATATCAATTACAAGTAGAAAGCATATAGAATTTGTTTTTATTTACTCGTTTTGCGTTGCAATAGAGGATGATTTTGCTACAGACAATCCAATTGGTCTGCAGCTGAGTTGCTGCCCAGGTTATCCAATCAGATGACTTATTACAAAGTCGTGGAAACCACCGAGCTGGACTCACGATAGCCCAAGATCCAAGAAATATGTTTAAAATGTAGATAAAATGACATGTTTCTGGCAGAATTACATTTTTGTTTTTCATGGAATATTTGCATTTAATGTTTTACAACAGAATGACACTAAAAGCACCAGTAACATTCTTTTAGATCTTTGTGTCATTACATTTGACATAATTTTCCACAAATATCAACATACTGCAGAAGAAAATCTATACATTTTTTTAACAGTTTTTATTTTAAAACCTAAATATGTAACTAAAATTGACGTATTTTCTGTTGTAGAGATTTTTTAGAAAATTATAAGCCGTCATTTTTCAAAAGGTCATAAAATTTAGGGCTCAAAGTGAGTTTACAAATGGCAAAAACCTGCTGTCTGGATTAATGTTGCAGACTTGTAATGCAGGACACAAAAACATATTCAATAATTACAAAATTTTACCAAAAATTTAAACCATTATTAATGCATTACTTATTTATTTAATGTAGTTATTACAATTTTATTTAAATGATTGCATACCTTAATGTTTAAAAGTTATTTATTGGATTGTGGCACTTTTGGCTCTTGATATGTGCAGAGATATATGTAACATTGCATTATCACAAGTTACTGTAACATTGTAAAACAAGCATTAAAAAAGCATAAAATATTCATTTAATCTCATGACTCAAATGATATAAGAAGCCATAACATCAACCACTCTGTTCGAAAACAGTGCATAACAGGCAGTGTCACAATAGTTCATTTACAGATTATGTTTAAGGCTGTGTGTGTTTGTCTACCAGCACAAAACTGCACTTAAAATGAGATGATGAGCATGAACGCTTTGGAAAAGCAACAAAAAGAAACTTGTAGACAAACTTTGTGCAAGTAAGGCTGAAAAATATAACAAGCCGCAAGAGAACATTGTTTTGTGATTTATTTTTTGGTTTCGCTATAACCTGTTAGACATTTTTGGTGAAACTGCTGCATGCTACACACCAGATCTTTGCTATTATAAGGCAAGAGGTGTGAGTTTATTGCCGGAACAGAGTGGATAAAGTTGTTTTATGAACGGGTTTTAGGAATTATTCCCTTTATTCCATTCGTTTCTCTTTAGATGGTTTCTGAGGTTATACTTGTAAAGATTTCCATCAAAATAAGGTGCACGTCCCTGTGTTTTCTCAGTAATCCCTAGTGCTGCTGGTGGCAGATGTTATTGGTAAAATGAGCTCCTCTGTTTACAAAGTGTTTATTGCAGGAAACCATCCAAAGCAAACACAGCAACCAGGAGCTGACGTTCCGGTCTCTATGTTTAAAGGAAAACAATGACCAGAAGATGAGATTGTAGGGGGATGAGCGCCACCTTGCTGGAGAGTAGATGATTGCATTGATGCGTGTCTGTCTGTGGGTAGCACAGGAAGAGGAATAGGCTGTTGCTTCCTGCTTCGCTCTGTTGTCTATGTCTGAACTCTGGCCTGAACCCCCGTCAGATCCTTTCTGATGATTTCATTCACTGCAAAGCAAATAAAGACAGGAAAATGTTATCTTAGGTAATTGACTTCAAAACACATCCCCTCGGACAACATAAAATGATTTCATTCTTGAAATATGACGCTTCAGTTCAGACGAAACAAAAGCTGCGTTTACGTCGAGGAACCTCTGGAGGCAACCAGCTGTTGCTCAGCCGATTACAAATGCATCAACACAAGAGGAAGGGGGTTGAAATGGAAAGTTTTATAGTGTCGCAGTTCTAAAAATAGGACCACAACATGTGTGTGTGTGGGTGTGTTTGTGTGTGGGGGCGGGTTGATCTTGTATAGGGCACATGCCAACAAACAACTACATGTTTTTCTTGTTTCAGAGGGATTTTTTTTATGATGTATTTTTGTTGGTAAAATTAACCCACGTCTTCCACAGACGGAGGAGAACAGGAAAGGGGAACAACCTGCAACACACTGTTCTTCCTTCCTCAGACAGTTTGCCTGCTCAGGTAGTTCTGGATTGAGCAACGAAGAATGCCAACAATGCGTCGCATGTCATCCCGCGCCGTCTGTGTCGATCGCTAATGTTTCAAAGCCGTCTGTGTTTTCAGATATGCGAGACTGGTGCCAATGCTCCCAGTTTACTTTGGAAAACTCATTAGGTCAGATGAGTAATACAAGTATTTCAAAACGTGCCAAAAAGGCTTTTTGGCAGGAACTGGAGCCTTTATAAATGCATATCCTGATTTTGTAACCATAGAGATGAGCAACATTTGCACTCCGGCAGCTGAACTGTTAAAATGCAGACCAGCAATTTCCAAACTGAAACATGATACATGTAACATTTGCAATCGGAAAAGATATTTACTTAATAAATCTTCATCCTCATGTATTCAAAGATATACTAATTTATATATTCGCAACTTTAAAGATTACCAATATTGTAAAATAAGAGACATAATTGCCATCTCCAGAAGCTATTTAATATATAAACATAGAACATTTTAAGAATAAATAGTTTGTGTAAGCTACCTATATATTCTTGTATGCAGATTTTGGATTTATATCATAATATATGTCCATGTCACTTAGGAATATATGAGATATATTAATTTCACATATTTCATGAAGGTTTAATATGTAAACATCCATAAAATGTGTAGTTTTTCCTCTTGATTGGCTCTGGTTGATAGTTCTAAAAATTTTATCAAACTTTTTCCCCCACCATTTCACCAGCATGCAGCTGTGATGAACTTTTTGATTGTAATGCAAATTCAATACGGATTAAGGAAGTGACGCATAAAAAGGGATAAAGTTTTTTAATTGATATTTGATATTCTGGTACAAAAAGATAAACTAGCAAAATTTCTGATCAAATAATCACTTCACTTAAATAGTTAAAATACCTGAAAACAATACTTCTCAAAGGGTCACTGCTGTTTTTTTATTTGTTCATTAAAGGTCCAGATTATTTTAATCAACAAATGCCTCTCAAGACACTCATAAGGACACACTTGGGTTTAGTTTAATATGGCACCTCAAAATATATCAGATAATTAAATTAAATCATTTAAAATCCAGTTTCACAAACGATTGAAAAAAAGTCTAACCAGTTACAATTTTGTCTGCCGAAAATGTTCCCAAAATGGGACTTTTTTGCTCAAATGCAATGCCAGAAATACCAACATTGATGTTATTCTTACAACTTCCACTTCTTTTACAGGTTATCTAGTTATAGCCTCATATGCAATAGAAAAACATACATTTTTCCCCATCTCATGTAAATTTTGGTTAAGTTAGAGAGGAGTCATTTTGTTCGAATTCAAACGATAAGGGCGTAACAGTGAGTCATTTCATTAAAGCTTTCATTTTTTTTCAAGGCAGATTAATTCAGCTAGCTTGTGTACACTCCATTTAAAGACCTGATTTTCATATCGAAGAGGCAAAGAGTGCAACTATTAACGCAAATTAGCTTTGAACTTTCAGGGTGGCAGGAGAACGCTGTTAAGTTTGCATTTCATGAAACACGTTCAATACGTCAACTCTGGGGAAAAAAAAAAATGCTGTTTCCAGTAGCTCCCAACCCCTGCAGAGCTACCTCTCCATATTTTAAAAATATCTGGGGTTGATTTCAGCAAGAATCAACCCAACCATAATACAGACCATTGAAGAGTAAAAATCTGCCATATAAAACTGCCAAAAACTTTCAATTTGTTATTTATGCTACAATTAATGTTTTCTTTCTCCATACTTTATGAAAGTTGTACCATTCAACTTTTACAACATTTAGCTCATTCAGTAATGTGTTTTTTGCTATGGGGTATTATACCAGATTATTACGCCTTTTTTACCGTCATGGCAGTTAACAAATATGTAAAAAAAACAAAAAACATTTCTGTAAAAGTTATATATTACAACTTCAAAGCACAAGTCTAAGTGGAGTCTGAAATCTTTTAGACTTGGGATTTAAATACTTTGAACAGTCCAGGATCTGGTCTGAATGACTCTTAGCTTGACTTTAATATTATAATAATATTTAACTTTCAAAACAAATGTTGCTGTGATTGCTTATAGGTGTCCAATACAAGCCCAACTCTGAATATGAAATAAAATATAACAAAAATCATCTTTAAAAAAAACTAATGAAGGCTCCATTCACCAGGCTAATATTAGTCTTGCTGTCCTTCAGCATCTCCTTGGTTTGCTGATCTTTTGCAGATGGGAAACTGAACACAGAGCTCACTTTATAACACCAGCAGCATCTGAGAATCTCAGAGACTGCAATGACAGCCAAACTGGGCGCTCTGCTGTCGTCACAACATCAGCATCCCTGTTTATTTTAAGCAGGGTGGAATTCCCTGTGACACCCAACGCCTTAAAGGAACTTTCATCTCCGCAGTCGGGCCACAGGATTTTTTTCCTGAGTGCGAAGCAGGCCCTCGAGAAGCAACAGGACCGCTGCAGACGGGCAGCACACAGTGGGGCTTTACTGGGCCTAATGAACAGTTGGCACGGACCGACTATTTGAGGGAAGCCAGGGGGAATGCTGCTCTGTTCAATAGGCGAGTGTCTGGCTCCTGGGTTATGAAACAAATAGCTGCGCTGTTTACAAATCAAGGCTGGGTAGAGAGGGACACCCTGGACAGAAGACAACTCAGTTGCTGTCTACTGCCTGGCACAAGCTGGAGTGTGTGCATGCGTGTGTGTGTGTGCAGGTTTCAAGCTATGTGCTGTGCTATTAGTATGTGTGGCAGAAAGATAGGTCAAGTCTGACTCGATCAATCTGAGAAAGCTTTATGAGGCAGTGTGAAAGTGGCAGAGCGCTGAAACGAAAGGACAGAAAAGCAGAGATAAAGGACAGTAAAACCACAAATCTGGTGTCGACATTTAAAGGCCAGTTTAGACCGAACGCTGCTGTGTGTTTATATTCCTTCAACTGTATGGTCTGTAAATAGATCTATTTAAACAAAATTGTAGCTTCATAGGAATTCAAATGTGAATATAAATTTACAGTTTTCATTTTCCTCAGAGTTCCTTCAGAAATATCTAAAGCTAGAACAACATGTTACTCATTAATAGATGAGATTGCATTTTTAGTACAATATTTATGTACTAAATATGCAATAAAATGTATATGAAAATAAGAGACTGCACAGTAAGGACGTATTTACAACATCAAGAAAATTATATTGTGCAGTTAATAAAAACTACACACTCAGTTAAAAAGTGTTAAGCGGCTTCATTAGAGAGAAAAATGTATGTATGTGCACATCATAACTGACTATTTAGAAGAAGACGGACATGCAAATAAGAGCAGAGTCATTACGACTCATGGTTATCAAACTTTACGGCTACTGGGAGGAAGGATCTGCGATAGTGGCAACTTTGTGCATCTAGGATGCAGCAGTCTAACACTGAACGAGCTCTGTCAAAGTGGAAAATGTAATTAATTTTATTGTTTTAACTTCTATATTCTTACTTCTTCAATTTGAGGTCATAATTTTGTAGAAAAATCAAAACTGGATGAAACTGAATGAAATGCAACAATTTTGCCATTTTCCACCACAGAATTTACAACTTGCCCAGCTGCAATATCAATAGCAAAGACTTAGAAGAAAATAACTTCTCACAGCAAGAAGAAAAGCTATGAAAACTAATTCACAGGATACCTGAAAGCATGTGTGCACCGGTCGGTGAGATCGTCACCAATCTAAGTTCGACTGAGATGTAGCTGAGAAAACCGCCCAAATGGGACGGAAGTGAGGTGAGACTAATGTCGGCCTGCCGGACTGTTGCTGTGTGCTTTATCTTTCTGCCCTGATCTCCACATGCTGGAACGATTTCACCTGCTCCACTGCCTCCTGGCTTTATTCCACACCCACTAAACCCGTCACTCCCAGCCTTTGCAACCTGTCAATTATCCCAATTTTCTTGGCAATGCTAGACATCCTCGAATTAATAATGTAAAGGGAAGTCAAACTTCCAAATGTTTTATTTTGTAACAAATACTGCTAATCATGTCTGTTCTGAGAAGCGGCTGAAGCGATGGGAACCGACGCGGGGGCTGCAGGTAAAGCACCCACTGAGTGGGAGACATGGGGAGAAACTGGGGTTCAGAACGAAAAAGCAAACTTTTTAACACTTAAGAGTCACAATCAGGCTCAAAGGAGATGTGACAGTTTTTCGACCACAGTATTGTGACGATACCAGGATGTGGCATCTCTGCTTTCTTCTTGCATCTCTTTCTAAAATGACTAAAGGCTGTCGCACTTGTCTTGATGAGCAATGTTGACAGAAACGTCTTTGATGGTTCTAGATCAAACCTTGATACCTCCTGGCCAAACAGAAGGGGATTTTCCTGATTATTGTTTTTGATATTGGGAAGTCCCTCTTATCTTTCTCATTAAAGCAGCACTGACAGCACAGTTTGATGAAAACCAACCTGCCAGAGAGATAAGGCCCCAGCTGCTACTGGATGGCTGCACCTATATACTGTCATCCTACTGCAAGGATGATAAGTATTTTCAGTAAATAGATTTCTCGTGGGTCTATTGACATGAAATTCACACAAAATGAAACCAAATTAGTCAGAAAATCAAGACTTAAGTGAAGCACTTCAACAAAACATAAAAGAGAGGCATGAAAACAAATTAAATGAGTCTGCATGTAGGAAGTACAGTACATCTAAACCCTATTAGTAGAAATTGATAGTCAAAAAAAAGATGGCAGGAGCGACTGACCTATTCATAAACATCTTGGTATTTTATTTGGGCAATAATATGGAAATCCAGAGCAACAATAATCATGGTTATCAGGTGCTTCTCTCCAGGTTTTTGGCAGAAAAGTGAAAAGATCAATTAAAAGAGTTGACCAAGAGCAAAAGAGAGAACATCATTTCAGCTCTACATGCTAACTGCACAGGACTCCACTCCTGAAGAAGAGACATGCTAAAGCTTTTTTAAGGCTAGCAGCAGACCCCATAATAAACCCATGAAATACGGGGTTTAAAGGTTTGGTTCATAATTTTTTTAGAAGAAAAACTTTTACAACCCCCCTGCACCAGCATACACGACAAAGGTCATTTCCAGGCCGGGGTGTCATGGTATGCGTCTGTATTTTAGCACATGGTTCTGGCAGACTGGAAATGGAGAAATGTCCTGGGATTTGTTTTTTGTTTTTTTTTAAACAAGACAATTATCCCAAACGGAGCCAAGGAAATTCTGAGCTGGGTTCAGAGCAAGAAAATATAGCAGCTGTAACAAACAGCCAGACAATGGAATCCCACGACAAATTTATGAAAACTACTGACAATCTAAAGAATTACTCACAATAATTTTAAAAAAGTATTAATCATGTTTCAGCAAGCTTGTTTAATAATTATTTTCCTGTGTACCAATGTGACGATGTGTTTAATACTTATTTCCCCTGTTGATTATGGCTGCTGTTTTAAGAAGTAGTTTTCCAGAGTTCTCCAGGACAGGTGTACGGTAAATGTTTTTTGAATTTAGTCAAACGGAAGGAATTGAGGCTTCGGAAAATGTTACGGAAGGATCAAAGGGGAGACCCAGTTTTACTGTTTCTCCAACTCCTTGTTAATTCACAGGCTCACAGTTCTGTTGCTGTTTACTGTGGAGGGAAGCCCTGCAAGCCCCATCCAAAAAACACAAATTCCACTGCTGGCTTTCTTTTCTTTTTTTTTTTTTTTTTTTTTTTTTTTTTACCAATGCTGTTTCATTTTTTCCACTGAAACACACAAATACACACAGCTCCTTCCCTTTTCCTGCAAACCACCCTCCACCCTCCCTGCTATCTTGCAGGGAACGGCCTGGATTTTGAGAGGGCAGCAGCTGCAAATAAGAATTTCTTGTGCCAGATTGGCAGAATCCTGTGGTCGGAAAAAAAGCTAATTCTCTGGTGGGCTCCCCCACAGGACAGAGGGGCGTAAGGCCAAGGAGAAATCCAGGCCAACTATAACAAACAGGGAGGCTTTCCCCAGTTCTCCCAGGCAGCACGTTCCACTGTTTGACAATGGTTGCCATAGAAGTTGTTTTTCACTTCATAACAGTGTCAACATGTCCAGGCGGCCAGCAGAGTGACACTTTTTTTCTCCCAATGGCTCAGTCTTTGGCTAGAAAAAAAAAAGAAAAGCACATTTCCTGACCTGATGTGTGTTGGTGTCAGGTGAACCTGTGCAACCAGCATGGTGATCGGTGGAGCATGGCAACCAAAAACGAAACGTGTTACTGAAATATATTTTAGCACGTAGCATTCAGAAACATCAATATAAGCAGATGTTAAGTTAATTGTGGACAACAAAAAATGCATCATTTCAAGGGGGGACTAAAATGTTAAATCGTTTCCAAAAGTAAACATCTGGAAAGTGTGATTGACTCAGCTTCCTGATTTAATAGATCACAGTATTATGTCAGTTTTATATATTTAGACACAAATATTTCTTTACAAAACTGCAAGATTTGCAAAGAATGGGGAGTTTTCGAGTCTTGCCAAAAAAATTAGATTTAAGCATAGAGCTTAATTTAATTTGATCTAAACCTATCCATAGTAGCTCTGGATGGCTACTCGAGTTTTTTGCAGTCTTTAACTGGTTTTCTTCCTTGATTTCCTTTTGTCTAATTCCATCATTCTTTCTCAACTAATTTGTCGCTGGTGTTTCCCCTCTTGCATCTAGCCAGAGCACCTCCTAATGCTCATTTATGACAGAACATACATAGCAAACTGCAGAGGAGTTTTTTAAACTTCTTTTTTCTTCACACATCAACACTGCCAGTCTTCTGTCAAGTTTTCTTTGGGCTTTTGCAGCTCTTCTTATGTAACCATACAGAAGATGCTTCAACAACCCTAAGAATCCTTTTCACAAGACTGTTTTGCAAAACCAGTGTTTTCAGTCAGATGCATATTTACAATCGATGTACCACAGACTGCTACAGGATATTCTTCCTGTCCTCAGCCATCAGAATGTACAACAATTCTTTAACAAAAAATTGAGTTGCAACATTTGATTTTCCTATTAGATTAATAAAGTGTCTTTGATGTTGAAGTGAATGTTTAAATCTTTGGATATTGTTTTATAAACCTACCCTGATCTATCTGCTGTGGTTTCTCATTTTGCCTGAGATTAATATGTGGTAGATGAAAAACCTAAATCCTATTAAAACACTTTCCATCTCGACTGAGTAATCAAGTCGATTGTGTGCTGCTTTTCAGGGTCTGTCACTTTACTTTCAAAGATAATGAACCTTTAACACCAAAACAAGGAAAGGCTCCACCTTCTGCCTGCTGCTGGATCTGGCCAGACATTAATTCAGTCAGAGGGAAACAGGGTTGACAAGCGCAAGTATAAACATATGACTCAAACCCATCATTATTTCCACTTTGGATGGATTGTTTTAACAGTTTTTTTTTTTTGGCTTTGTTCAGAGGATACTATGGAGCACAGATTGGAGCGACAGATGGTGCAGATACTGTAAATATCCTTGAATTGTTCTTAAGAGAACTCATATCGCCGCTTCTGGTTCTTATCATCCATTTCTTTCGGTGGCTGTGTCCGCCTGCATCATTTCACTTGAGCTACTAATTACAAAACTCACAGGGAGCAAAAGGCTGGACAATCAATCCATAACAATGTGCATCGTAATCAATATCAATAATATTTTCAGTAATTTCACTGAATTCTGATTCAGAGCCGCACAGCATTCTGGGGGATGGAGCTCCATTAAAGCTCTTACAGCCAGCTAAGCTAGGTGGGTGGTATCAATTGACTCACTCACTCTTTGGTTACCTACCAACAACTTGCAAGTGGTGCAGCAGGAGTTTAAGGTTTTGCCATCATGTCTTATAATTGCTTAAAAATAAACATAAAAAACTGGATGAAACAGGAAATGTCACGCCACCAGATTGGTAGTATTTTACATATTTAAAACAAAAGAAACTAATCAATAATATCAACAGACATGACAGTTTGTTTTTCCAGTAGTATTGTGCAGCCCTACAGGGAGTGTAAAGGCAATAACTTACACTCACCATCATCTAGGTAGGCCTGGTCCAAGTTCTCCTCCTTGACCGTCACTCTCCTCTGTTCATCTTCGGTAACCTCCATCGGCTGTGTCCCAGGCGCCCCCGGGACCTTTTGGGGTTCCTTCGGCCCAAATGGCGGCTGCTGCTGCTGCTGTTGCTGCTGCTGTTGCTGCTGCTGGATGACGGTGGGACATGGCTGCTGGTGGGTCACTGCTGCCTGGGCCTGGGGGTGTCCAGGTGAGTGGGATCCTGCCTGCGCAGGGTAGTCATCGCAGAAAAGGATCTGCTGGTTATCAGGCGGAGGAGGAGGGAGAGTCTCCGCATCTCCAGCCCTGAGCAGGTGGTGGTTGGTGGGGGAGAACTGGATGATAGATGAGTGCTGGCCTGAACTGATGGGACCTACAGACTGAGCTGGTGAACCTGTGTGGACCAGCACCGACCGGTGGGGGTCAGGCATGACCCCGCCGGAGTGCCACGAGCCTGGGCTGCTACTGAGGCTCTTCCCACCTCGAGAATAGACAATAGCCGGGCTTTGCTGCTGGAAACGCGCGTCTTGGTTTGGAAGGTTGGGGCTGAAACGCTGACAGGAAGCCATGCTGGACATTAGGCCATTGTCTGGGTGAAGGATGCCGCGAGGGTTGTGGTAGTAGGAGTGAGGCGATAAGCCCAAGATCTGAGGAATACCAAAGCCCATATTTTGTGCTTCATATTCATCGAGAGGTTCTGTCTTTATGGCAGGAGCTGGAAGATAAAGGAAAAACAAATGAGTCAATGAAATGTCTTCAAAACAAGAAAAGAACCCGAAGCCCCAGGTTCTTACATGTCAGTGGGGTGAAGGTGAAATGCTGAGGTTGACTGCGCTTTCGTTTTCCGTTAATAACATAGAAGTTCACTTTGACAGGTTGGCATATGGATGTATCCTGGTAAGATGGCACTTCCACGAATAGCATGCTCTGCAAAATAATTTTTAAATACGGTTAATGTTTTACCAACGGTAGATGAGTCTATTGGCCTCTTTCTTTAGCATAAATCTAGACAGTTCATAAATTGTGAACTATCCCTTTGAATGCCAAACGAATTTAAGCTGAGCTTCAACAGAAAATGTCCCATAAGTGGAAAAATTTTTTATTTAACAGATGTTTAATACGTACAGGTTGGCTCTTGTCTTTGTCCACTGTTGCTTCCATTTCCCAGAGTTGCTGGCCATCTGGGACAAAAGAGAAGGTAAAAGGAGAGTTTATGAGGTTTGTTTTCTGAAAAGTAGTTTTACAGTGGTGGGGAAAAAAAGAAAAAAGAAAATTACCTCTTTGATCACATTTAAATGTTCCAGATCAATCTATTATTCCACATAAGACACAAATAACCAAGTAAATACAAAAAAATTCAGTTTGACAAAAGGTATCAAAACGAACATGGCCACATTTGGAAAAAAAAAAAAGGGCTTTCCCTTCTTGTTACGTCATTAAATGATACATTTCTGTAAACACCTCACACCCTAATCTATGAAAATTCAAGACAATTCCATTGACATTTTTCAGTCTGGAAATGATTATAAAGTTCTTTCCATGACTTGGAAACTCTAGTGGACCACAGTGAATAACCAACAAATAAACAAAACGTCTAACAGTAGTGTTCCTCCCCAGGGTTGGTTGGTTTGCCAAATTAAGTAGGTGAGGTCATAAAATAATCCAAACGACATCTAAACTCAGGTTAGATGTTTAACATTAAACGTGATGCGACAATAACATCCTTGTGGGAGGTCTGAAGTAAAAACCACAGCTGACTAAAAAGAAACACATTTCCTAAAAAATAATCTAGAATGTTATTCTAGGAATCAAAAAAGGTGACAATAGTTTGTGAAGGAAGAGCCTGGCCATCAGTTTGTGACCGAAAGCTCAATCTTATTCAGCTGGACAAGGAGCTATAGCACACCAGCAAATCCACCTTCAAACAACTCAAAAAGACAAAATTAAGGTTTTTCAGCATCAAAAAAAATCATTGACGCTGGAAAACCCACTGATGTGGTCAAATTAAAACTATTCTGCAGAGAAAAATTGGCTAAAATTGCTCCACACTGAGACTAATTGCCAGTTTTTTGCAAAGATTTGATGGTAGTTGCTGCTTGCAGGGGTGGGACAACCAGTTTTTAAGTTTATGGGACAATTACTCTTTCCACAGAGAACCAAGTTGGTTTGGAAAGCTTTTTCTTTTCCCTTAATAAATAAAATCCTCCATTAAAACCTGCATATTGTTTTGGTTATATGTTAGCTTGAAGATGCAGCTTGTGCTTGTAGATAAAATATAGACGAAACCACTTCCTGTCCCACCAACCAGCACACTTAGAAGCAAAATTTGTAGGTCATCTGAAACACACTCATTCAGCAATATGATTGAAGATATGTTTTTTTTTTGCTGCAAATGTTAGCTAGCAAAAAAGAAAAACTGCAGACTTTAATGTAGTAACAGTTGATTTTACACAGGAGATTTAATCTATAAAACAAGTGGGGCATTTGAGTGCAAACACACAGAAGTGTTGCAGGTTTAGGTGGGAAACCCTCAAACTACAGATTGAAAACACATGGATTAAATGAGTCAGCAAGAGAGGGGGATTCCACACACACTACCAACTTTTTTTTCTTGGTCTTATTTTTTTTGTATGAGAAACTTTCTCCGTTTCTTCTGCAAAATGTGATGACGCTACTGCTCTGTTGGCTTTGGGAAGTGTTTGCGTTTTGTTGCAGTTCTTCTCTAAGGGAGACCCCGAGCCTTCCCTCCTCCACTAACAATTACCTCTGATGGGAGGAGGGCTGATGGACCTGGAGAAAGAGACTGAGTTGCTTTGGTTTGGCTCGGGATGTAGTTATTTCCCAAATAAAGCTCTCTTCGTCCAAAGACAAGAGTCAGGGGAGCTCCAGCCAGATGCAGCTGTCACTCATTCAGAAGGATTTCACAGCTGGACTTATTCAGAACTTTGTGTCAGAGAAAGTCTCCTAAACAAAGGTAATCCCTCTCTGCAAGCTTTCTCCACTGATTTCTTCTCACAATTTCTGTGGAGTCTTGCGAAATAGCAGAAGGGATTCCCAGACAAGAGACAAAAAAAAGAAAACAGTAACTAGGACATAAGGTTTGCTGAAAAGTTACTGGATGTAAAAAGAAAAAAAACATGCCACAGCAATCTGATAAACTAAAATAATCAAAAATATTTGATTGTAAACAGAAAGTTTACAATCAAAGTGCAACTTGCTTGGGTAGGGTTTACAATTTGAGAGTCTGGAATAAATCTAAGCTTAATTTAAACCTGCTCATCAAATTCTTATATTTACAACTAAAACCATAGAAAATTATGTTCTTTTAAACAAGAACATGTAAAATATATTGTAAAAAATAGCCAATATTAATTTGACAACCAAAAAATGATCAACATACGTAAATTCCTGTTCAGACCTTCAAACTGTTCTATCGTCACCTTCAGGTAAACAGACTGTGCTAAACAGAGATGCAGCCCAGAGCAATGCAAGCAGAAACAAGAGAACCTAATTCTAAACAAAGTTCAAACCATAAGCTGGTGCTTGTTAGCGTAAAGGGAACAATGAAATTACAACTGATCTTCGCTGCTCATAAAAACCAACTGAAATCTTTTTTATCAGAAATGTACGCGGCAGGTTTTACATGGCACAGAATCATGAACCATGCAACAAAAGGCCCCTTTGAGTGACACGATATGGAAGTCATTGAAGGGTAATAGGAAGTGAGGCTGCAGCATCATCCTCTTGATCATGCAAATAACTGATGCTATCCTTTACACAACGACGGGTATGAAAAGAAATGCAACAGCGAGGAACTTATTGCACAAACACATTGACTCATTAATTATGCTTGGTGGTTGTGGCGTTACTGTTTACACACAACGTTGCGCAACTATCACAGAGAAGGGCCGCAAAGATTTTACAGACTCCACCATGGAGCTGGTGTTGTCAGACACTCACCGTGACTCTTCTCCAGAAAGATGACCTTTGAGTCGGAGCTGAAGTTCTGCCCAGTCAGGATCATCTGCTGGCCGCCCAGGACGGAGCAGCTGTCCATGTCCTGCTTCTCCACCATGGGAAGCTCGTGTGCAGAACGCTGAGCTGCAGGGACACACAGAGGGGTGGTGTGGAACTTTTACTGCCTTTCCACTACAGTCACTTTCTCCAGTGGGAGGATTTCCTTTGCTTCCCTGATTTATATGATTGCATATTAAATATCATTCATGTCTGTGGACAGATCAAACATGAGAGCACATCTGAACAAAGCATTTTTATTTTATTAATTTTGACCACACTAATATGTAGTGCATTACAAACTAATCTAAGCTTCAACTATTGATTAAAATACTCTTTATATAATGATTTGAATGACAGTATTTTAACATGTTCAATGTCGCTTTCTAAATAGGAGACAAATACAAATTTACCCAGAAGTGGTGGTGGTTTACAATAAAGAGATAATGCTGAGTCATTCAATAATCAAAGTCATTGTTCTTACTGTTGTCACTTTAAATGAGTCAAATCACAACTTGGGCTGCTTATCAAGAGGAGTCACTACAGCTTGGATGTTAAAATGATTTATAGGAAGGGACTAAAGAAAGTCTGATAAGTCTTTTTAAAAAGTCTAAACACGCTGCACAAAAAATCTTGCCTAACTTTATATTGAACTTCTCACAGTCATGGTAGGCAGCAGTTATTAACTATCTCTAGCTTCTGGTTTAGAAACTTTATATTGAACCTCTGACAGAGTCTTGTTCAGTGGAAAAAATAAATATTCCTTACATTATCAAGCAAAAAATCTAAATCTGCAGAGAAGCTACAAGCAATTTCAATGGACAAAGGTACAAAGAAGAAGGTGGGTTGAAGTTGACAAAAAGTTAATATGCAGCAAAAATAACACTGAACATCACTACACACAATTTTTGTTTTATTCAATGAATTCAAAATGTTTGTGAGGTGCAGCAGGGTTTCATCTTCCAGCACTACACCGAGTCCAGCCATACATTTAAATCAAAAATAGAGTAGCTTCAACAGAAGAAAAACTACAATAAAAGTTTTTTTTTTCTTACATCGTTACACAATTTTTAAATCCATAGTATCCGAAAAGTTCATTCAGATTTTATTACATGGTTGCATATCAAAACGTGATACTCTTTAAAGGAAGTTGCATTTAGTGACAACCATGTGATCTTTGTTTTTTTGTAACATTGAAAGGGGAACAAATTTATTGAAAGAAGATGACATGGGCAGGCCTGCTCTGACAGTGCGTTTGTCTCCCGGCACAACAGATGCCAGGAGACTCATGCAGCTCCCATCACTCATGCGTTTTGCAGCAAACACAGCTTTGCAACAATTGTTCCACGAAATGAGACACAACAGTGCAAAGCGATTTTTGAGTCATGACTTTAGTCAGTATCAGAAGCGGATCGCAGGCAGTTCATCATACCTGACAAGTTGTTGATCAAAGGTGGATAAGGGGACCTTTTGTTTGAGTTGCAATTACATCCAGCACCTTAATAACTCTGTGCACACATCCATTAATGTACCCAAACACAGACTTCAGAACTGAGTAAATATAAACGGGTACCTGCAGCCACCACCAGCTGGATGGAAGCCCTGGCTGCATAAAGAGGTGTTTTACTCTCAGGATTCTGGGCTATCAGCCCCAATCCAACTTCATCTGAATGTAGGTAATGAGATTTACTTTACATTTTAGCTATACCTCACTGGGCAGGTTTTAATAACCAGCAGGAAACCCATGAAAAGTATAAATAATACATTTATTGATAACTTACAACACTCGATGGGATGCGAGGCCACTTGCAGACAGACGTCCTGACCTCCAGGCTGAAATATGTGCACGCGAAACACAAGTCGGACCCGAGTGTTTTTCCGACCAACATCCGTCTCGCCTTTCCTCAGCTCGATGTCGGCGTTCCTGAGCTTCAGGATGCCAGCGCAGTCGATTCTGTGGTAGGAAAAATGAAACGACGTCATTGTGAGCAAACCTGGGGGAGGCATTTTTATACCGATATTGTTGTGTTCATCTCACATGGCTTTCATGTTGTTCTTTGGCTCCAATGGGATCTCCAGGACTTTGGTGCCGTTGATGATCCTCTCGTAGCTGTTGGTGGTGACCGTCTTGCCGGTGATCCGGTGAACTTGATAAAAGGCGTGAGGCTTCAGGATGCGCTCATCTGCGGTACCAATAAAAATTTGGAGGCCAACTGGATCTTTGCCTCTGTAGCCATGCAACTACAAATACATAACACACACACAGTCAGCACTGAACCATTGGCCCTTCTGTTAACAAATGAAACTTAGCAGTAATTAGGGATTTGTTAATCAATGCATTTAATCTGTACCAGATCACTACCTATTCTTTTACCTAAATTCATGTTGCGATGCTTATTAAAATTTAAGAATAGCAAGAAATTACACTCCAACCTTACATTCAAGTAATTTACACTGGATGGCAGATGCAACAAGATCATAATCATCAACATAACCATGCCTAACTTGCAGACTTGGTAAAGTAGATAACACTATACTGACAAAGATGCTACTTTTAACCTGAGAATTTTCTGAGGAAACCTGCAAAAACCACAAGGTGTGAACTTGCATGAGAATGCTGTTTTTTGCAAACTGCATCGAGCGTGACCCTTGCTGCAGAATGAATGAATGTGTGAACTAGATTCCAAATGTTGAAGCAAAGCTGCCTCACAAGAAAAATGTGATCAAACCAAAGAGAAAAGTTTCATTTCAAGTTCTCTTAATTTAAAATAAAACCGCCATTTGCTCTGGTGGTTGTAACCATGAAACTGCAAAGAGGGGTTCAGTATCTGCAGAAACTATGACAACGTGAAAGCACGCATTCCCTCCATCTACAGGTGGACACACAACGCGGCGTGCAGGAGCAAACTGCAAACACCGAGCAGGGCGTGAAGAGCCAGCCGGTTGGCATGGCAGCGGCAGGAGCGGTGAGTCACGGCAGCGAGCGAGTGGAGGAAAAGTAAAGTGGACTGCTCAGAGAAAAAGGCAGCAGAGGGAGTGGAAGAGAGGTAAAGGAAAGTTTAGGCAAAGTGTACGGCCACGGGTAGCCAGGTCCGGCTGTCCTGGCAAACCTGGCAGCTCTGACCTCAGGCGAGTTCTTCAGGGACTGGGCAGAAAATGGAAAAGGAGCAAAACAGTATAGAAAAGTTGCCACAGTAACGCAAAAAAGAAGGAAGCTGAAACTATTTATGGCCACTACGGCCGGCTGAAACTGTGCCACAACCAATTTGTGTTTTCCTTCAGCATTAGGACCATGACCGACATTAAGAAAACTTTTTCTTTCCTCTTGAACTGCAATTACCCTAACGACAGGAACTGTTTCTGTATTTTTTCTTCTTTTTTTTATTTTCTCATGCCTTGACAGCTTTCCAGTACCTCAACTTTGCTTCCTAATACAAGAGCTGCACAGTAAATGAAACAGTATGGAAGAGGAACTCAGAACTGCATAAACACAGATCCGTGTGTGTGGTTACAACCATGAGACGAGGATGCAACACAGACGGCTATTTTAGGCTGGAAAGTTGAAAAAAAAATAAATAAAAAAAGAGAAATCAGGTGAGTGAAAAACACAGACTCTTGGTTCAGTCTTGAGGGTTGTCCTGAGTTGGTTACTATGTGTCATTCTGTGTATCTGAGGTTAGAAAGTCCGTCTACGATTTGTTTAAGGAAGTGAGAAATGGCATCTTGTGTTTTCATACAGCTGGGCAACACTGATGCATAACTAGTTGTCACTGCAACGCTGCTTGAGTCGCACATTGCTCATATTTTTCAATAAACACACACAACATCATAAAGTAGGACGCAACAACACAATGAATGAAAGAGTTGTGCAACGTGAAAAGAAGATTAAATTCCTTTAAATTTGTTCACAATTTGGCAGGTTAGAAACACAAACTTCTGTTATTTATTTTAGATTTTAGGCCAAGGAGTAACATATAGCTGCAAAGTGGAGGGAAACATTCTTTTTTTTTTTTTTGCATTTAAAACTCAGCCCTCTTGACCTGACACTTGGTAGAATCCTCTATCTGTGGTTAAAGCAGCACATCTTTTAGATTTTATGTCTCTACCAGCTTTAAACATTTGCAGACTGAAACTTTTGCTTGTTCTTTATTTAAAATAGTTCAAGCTTAGACAGACTGAATAAAAACCAACCATAAACAGTAAGAGTTCTGGTCTGGTCTTTGACTAGGCCAGTTTAGCGCATAATGAGGTTTGATCTAGATCATTGCATTTCAGCGCTGCTTGTAGGTTTTGGGATAATTATCCTGCAGGAAGGTGAACCTCCTTTGAACGCTTCCCTGATGAATACAGGCATCACTGCATAATACTGCCACCATGTTTAATGTTGGGGTTCCGGTGTTCAAGATGATGTGCACTGGTAATTTTCCTCCACAGGTCATTAAGTTTAATTTTGCTCACATCGGAACAGAACACCTTCTTCCACATGTTTGCTGTATCCTCTACTAATGGTGAACTGCAGGGAACAGAAACTTTTATGGCTTTCTTTCAACAATTCAACAATCTTGCCACTCTTGCATGGTGGCCAACCTTGTAGAGTGCATGACTAATGAAGGTAAAGTCAACAAACTCTTCCCCCTGGGTCGGACCTCTGCAGCTCTTCCAGAGAGACCATGAGTCTCTTGGCTTCTTCTCTGATAAATGCTCTCCTTGTCCAGGCTGCCAGTTTAGGTTGCCATGGTTGTGTACAAATTCAGGGGCTGCATCCTTCGACAGTCGCATTTGAGACTCATTACGCCACAGCAAGGATGGCTTTCCAAATTTGAAGGGTCCTCCACAAACTAGCAAGATTTTCACCACCACCAACAGGACATGCTCTGGGGTAAGGGCAGGAATAAATCTGAAGGCCAGACAGTCAAATTTCAAACTCCTGGTCTTCGTGGTTAACGAAAGGCCTTGAATTTGGACACACCCAATGTCTTGGTATGTTTGCATTGGTTTTCACTTTCAGATGGAAGAATTAATAGTGATATATACTCAATGTGGAGTTCATACTAGTCTGATGTGTTCCTTGGTCTCCATGATGATGCTTTGCTCAAAGAAGTGTTTGAGTTTTAAATTACAGGTTGAGTCTGAAATAAAAATCTAAAAAATAATTGTCTTTTTACTTCAAATAAGGGCACTATGTAAAGCAAAAGAAAAATAAAACAAAAACTTTCACTATGAATATTTAATGGAGTTGTATTGGTGTACTCAAACTTTGGGACATACCTGTACCACTGGATGTCCTCCAGTGGGGGCTTTAACTGCGCCCCTGCTTCCCTCCGTTTCATAGTGAGCCCTGTGGTGCGGCTTGGGCTGCACCTCAATGTGGAGTTCATACTGGTCTGTGCGACTGGGAAGGGGCCACTCCAATGGTGGGGCTGTAGCCAATGGGAGGCTGCAAATGGACAAAGATAATTAGTTATTCATGTTGAAAGACATGAGCTTCAAAGGTTTCTGGTTTTCTACCAACTTACCTGCAGATGTTGGGAACCAGCGGCTTGGGCCAGATTGATGGGATGACATAGAAAGGCTCTGCAGCAGGTTTGGTTTTAATGTCCTGATCACAGTAGTTCCCGTCACCGTGATTCTCTGGGATTAAAGCATAAAGTTGGTTGGAGGTCTTGACTATTTTGGTGGGCACCATGCCTGGCTGACTGCTGCCAAATCCATTCACGCCCTCAACAAGGCCGGCGTGTGTGAAATGAGCTCCCTTGTTGGGGTTCTCCTGGCCGCTATGCGGGGACGGACTGCGGGACCGCTGCCCAGGCATCAGCCCCGGATTCCGGTACATTTCGTAGGTGCGCTTGCCCTGCGGGGAGGTGGAGCGCGGTCGGGGCGAGGGCGAGCGTACTCCCAGGCCGCCGTCTTCTCCAAGGCTAGTGTGAGGGGAGGTACCCGGGGAGGTGCGCGGGGAGCCGGTATGGACGTTCTGCATGCGGGGGCAGAGATCTGCTGGATTTGGACCGCTACTGGGGGAAACGCAGGGGGATGCCCAGGGCGAGTAGCTCTCAGAGTGCCAGCTGGTGGAGGAGTTGCTGCTGGCGGGACTCAGGCACTGGGGCTCACGGTAGGCAAGGTTCTCATGGCCGGGCACAGTGAGGGTGGGTCTCGGGCTGAGGTTCAGGTGCTGGTTCGGCAGAGAGTCCCGGCCATGACTGTAGTGCTCTCGGGACGGGGTGATTTCGATCCGGGGGCTCAGGGCCAGACCTGGGGGCCGGGTGTTGTCCAGGTAGTTTCTGGTCTCCTGGTTTTCGTACCCTGAGAGAACTTCGGGGTTGAGGTTGGAGTAAGGGGAGTTGCAGGACTTGATCCTGTACTGCTCATCCAAAGGGAAAACCTGCTCAGATTCAGGACTGAGGACCTTGTGAGTGGCAAGGCCAGGGTCATCTGGAGAAAAAAGGATCACAAGATATTAAGAACAAGCAGAAACAAATATCAGATGAGAGCTGCACCATTTATTGAATCTTAATCTTAACTGCAATATTAAAATGTGCAATACAGTTGAAACAATTTATGGTGATGAATCAATTCTTGAAATTGTCAACTAATCATATTACAGATTCAATAAAATGTCAATTGCTCAAAGAACAGCACACGCAGAGGTAATTAATCCAAAATTATATAAAAGTATAAAACAAATATACATTATGCAGATAAGACAAATGTAAAATGCAAGAGGCATAGTTTTAGCTTCACCTGTTTTTTTTTTTTTAATCTCAAATGATCAAGCATACACTAAGGCACAGGTGTCAAAGTCCAGTCCTGCAGTTTTTAGATGTGTTACAGGTATAAAACATTGGAATGAAGTGGCTTAATTACCTCCTCTTTGTGTAGATCAGTTCTCCAGACCCTTGCTAATGACTTAATTATTCTATTCAGGATGTGGTGCAGCAGAGGCACATCTAAAAGTTGCAGGACACCGGCCCTCGAGGCCTGAAGTTTGACATATAACATATTTACCTTCTTATTGAGGAATTTAAATATTTGTTTAGTTGTATTTTTATTAATATTGTACAAAATAAGCTTAAGCGGGTAAATGAAAAATCTGCAGTTGTGCCCATTTTTTATCTGATAAATAATCGAATCCTAAAAGAATGGTTAGTTGCTGCCTTAATGAGTAACATCTGATGTAATGGCCTGCCTCATGCCATCTACAGTAACTAATGTATTTAATGTGTGCAAGCTGATACTTTAATTTTTGTGGATAAGATGCTAAATGTCAGGAAACGTGATGGGAGGATTATAGTGATGGAGAAAAGAAGAGAGCAGTAAGGAATATGCTACATGTTTTCCTAATATTGTATATCTTCCTAAACAGATCATTTTTCTGAAACCCCCCCCCCAAAAAATACTATATTTCATCCTCTCCAACTAAACAACAAATCAAATACATGAATGTGTACTTATCAGCTGAAAGCACGAGAACCTTCTGGCATTTTCTCTCACATGGCTTCTTATCTGATGCCACATCAACAACAAATTTGCTTCCTGGTCTATTTTTATATTCTACTGGACAGACTTTACAGGCCATATGGTAATCAGCCACAAGCAAAACAACCGCAGAAGAAGCACAGGTCAGTTCAGGTCAACAAAAACCATCGGACAAACCTTGATCTCCTCCTGCAAAGTCGCTGCAAGGCGGCTCATATTCAAACAAGTACTCAAACTGCAAATCCTCATCAGGGCAATTGGCTCGACTGAGGTCTTCCTCCAGATCCTTTTCGTCGTAGAAGGAGGTCATCTGTATGATTTTTTTTAAATTATCTACCGACTCCTCCAGGACCAGAGCGAGGGACGTGCGCGGCTGATGCCAATTTGGTGTTTGAGCGTCAAATCCCGCATCGGGTGAGCTGGAGAAAAGGTGAAGCGGCGCACAAGTTTCCTGTTTCAGTTCTCCGCGGTTATTTTCAGAAGGAAGGCGGGTCTATTTACGAACTGAGCAACAGTGTGTGAGTTGTTTTTTTTTTCTCTCTCTCTCTCTAAAGTTTCAGTGCATCACCGCGGCCCCTATCACGCCACCCCCGCCTCAGAAGATGCGTAGAGCAGCAAAGAGCAAAAGTGCAAACAGGTGCTGCGTCGCGCCGACTTCCCCCTCCCCGTCGACATGCGCGTCTATTCTGTGATTTACGGCAGCATTGAAAGAGATGGTGTATTCAGAGTAAGCCGGAGATTGGGAGACTCTACATTGACTCTACATTAAAAATGATTAAACATCGTTTCAAATAATAAAATATAATTAAATGATACTCAGTACATCTATAATATGTGATATACATCTTGTTCTAATCTTACTACAAAGGTACATTTATAGGTACGTTCTTGAAAAATATTACCAAACTGAGCTCTACTGTCTCAAGCAGGAAGCTGCATATAATTATTCATACTTATACTTTGTTTATTTTGGAGTGCAAATAAATAGTATTTTATTGACTTGGAGATCTATTTGTATTCTGAGAGGGCTTCTGCACTCATAGGTCCCTGGTAGAATGGGTTCCCCACACCAATGGGTTCTCATGTGAAGCACTTTGAGATTTTAAGTTTTATTAAATAATAAAATATATCTAAAACAGCAGGTCACTGTTTAAAATGAATTACACTTGAAATACTGCATAATAACTCTTATCATGTTTGTAATCTACTCCGCTTTAAGCAAAATTTCAAAACCAAGAATTGAGCATGGGCAACTATTGTTGCCATTAGTGTTGCTTTATTGATTTAGAATGGACACCTACCCTAATTTATTTGGCGCCTGAAACATAAACACTGAATATTACTGAAAATGTAATGTGATCTGCTGAGTTACTTCTTATGTCGTGATATTTTTTATTCCACAAATAAAACTTAAGCTTTGTTGACATGGTAACTGTGCCAAAATAGAGCCACATAAATCTTCATAGTACTTTTAAAAAGAAATGCAACAAAAACATTGGCTTGCACAATTTATATGTGCTTTCATTTAATATTTATATAGGATTTGTTGATTTGGAGTTTTCTGATAATTGATTGCATTTTAATATTTTATTTTTACAATAAAAAGCAATTTAAAAAATGTTTTAAAACATTTTGAAAAACATCAATCAGTTCTATGCTTTTGAATGGCTTTTTAAAAGAATAGAACTGATTGATGTGCCAGATTTGATTCAATTAAGCCAATCTACAGCAGTAAAACTGCCTGAAAATGACCAAGAATGTTAAAAAGCCTCATTCAGACCTTGTTGAGATTTGGTAATGAAAGTCGATCAAACCATTTTAGAGCTATTTTTAAATTGATTATGTGCAAGGTGTACTTGAATGCACCATGCCTTTGCTGCATGGAGTTGTAAAATATCGTCTAGATGCGCAAGGGCTTTTACGGCAGCGTCAGGCTGGTGGGGAAAAGGTTGAACGATTGAACTCTGCTCGACACAGAACACCAGGAAGCGAATTAACACCTCTGGTCACCAGAGGAGCGATCTGCGCCTTTTGACGCACGGCCTGGTGCTGCCCCCGGGTGTCTGACGGGTTGCAGCGGCAATCAGCGGAGCTTATCGCGTGTCATTCACCTGTTGCAAAACTAAAATGACATATTTGTGGGTTGTAATTTGTGTATTACAACCCACAAATATAGTCGTAACCTTAAAAGCTTTCAGTTTCATAACTTTTCCAACCAATAATGTCTGCGTCTGGACTGGATTTCCTCGTCAGACGCTCCGTGTTGACAAAGGAGAATCTCGGGTTCTCCTCGGGGTATCCCCGGATTTACGCACGACGCAACAACACGCAGCTACACCCCTTA